CCCCCCCAACTCCTGATCTGGGTTTCTCCTTACTAGTTGTATGGTCTCACACCGTCATGTGTATTATTTCAGGATATAGCATTCTAACAGCTATGCTAGCTATATCCTTTTGCTATACTAAATAGAAGAAAATATTATTTGTAACAATATTGTACATTTACATATACATGTTTTTTTTATTTTCTGACAATTTTGTAAATTCAAAAGATATTTTGCAATAAACGTTATTATTATTATTATTACCTGTTTGATCGGGTGTTCTACAGTTCCCTTGAACTCTACCGTTGTATTGGAAGGTGAGGTCAGGTCTGCATTGACAGCCACATTGACCATTGTTGAAACCACCGTTGTTAAATCCACCATTTTGACCATTGTTGAAACCTCCATTGTTAATTCCATTGTTAAATCCTCCATTTTGCCCATTGCTAAATCCCCCATTTTGACCATTGTTGAAACCTCCATTGTTAAATTCATTGTTAAATCCTCCATTTTGCCCATTGTTGAAACCTCCATTGTTAAATCCTCCATTTTGCCCATTGTTAAATCCCCCATTTTGACCATTGTTAAATCCCCCATTTTGACCATTGCTAAATCCACCATTATTGAAACCTCCATTTTGTCCGTTTAAAAGCCCGCCAAGGGTTAATCCTCCATTTTGCCCATTATTAAATCCACCATTGTTGAAACCTCCATTTTGACCATTGTTGAAACCTCCATTTTGACCATTGTTGAATCCGCCATTGTTGAAACCTCCATTGTTTCCTTGGAAGAACCTTGTATCTGCACCCTCAGTCTAAAATTAAGATAAATGACTTCTTATGTTCCACTTAGAGATGGGCATTGGTTTCGTGAGAGAAAAGTACAGAACTTACCGAGAACGATCATGTCATAAATTTTTTTCTAGAGATATGAAAAACCGATTGATTTTCCTAAACGAATGAGAAAAATAAAAACGGACAATTTTAAATCATTAATCATGATTCTCAAAACTCAGTCAATTTTTGAATTATTTGTTTAAAAAAAAACAATAGTTTTTTAACTGAATAACAATTGTTTGAACGAACTTTTGAAATATTTATTGTTTTCAACCTAAAAAACAATCTTTTCAAAAAATATTTTTTTTACTAAACTAACGATTTTTTTAACAAACTTTTTTTTTTAAAAATATTGTTTTTACCGTACAAGATTTTTTTAATCAAACTATTTTATTTAATGAACAATTTTTCTGAACAAATGATTTTTTTTAATTGATTGTTTAGTTAGAAAACGAACCAAATAGATGGAAAATGAGCGATAATTCTAAAAAGAAATAATGAAAATTTGTACAGAAAGACTTAAAAAAAGTACAAAGTGGGTTGTTAATAAACAAGGAACGAAAAAATTGGAAAAAGGCCAAAGGCGCCCATCTCTAGTTTCACTTTTTAAAGTTTTCCTTGAAATTATCCCACTTGAATCCATTAGTTATCATTAATAACAGTGACTCGTTTAAACAATTTGATTTTTGTATTTACCTTCTCCGATGTGTCTTCAGAAGTATCAAACTCCTCACTAGGACTAGACGAGTCCTCCGCGTCTCCAAAGTTGACATCTTGAGCACTGGCTAGAGCGCAAACAGAACCCAATATCACCAGAAGTGTTTTCATTGCTAAAAAGTTTATTTTCAAATAAAATTTTCGATATATAGCTTTTATTTAACATTTTCTACATTTGTTAAACTGATGCAAAATAAGGTCAACTGGTACAAAATATATTTTCTTCGTTTTTTGACATATGAAACATGACAGTTGGTAAATAGTTTTAATTTTTTTCTTTCATAGTTTGTAAAGTTGGTTGATACCAAAGAGAATAATAAAAATAATATATGACAGTAAAATATATTTTGGTCATGTTTAGTGGGACACCCTGTATCTAAAGTTCATCATGAGTAATGAGTTTATAAAGCTGAACCGTTTAGATGTAGTTAAACCACTTGGCTCTAGCCCCAATCCAAACTGCAGAGAAGTAGTTGAACTATGTCTATGCAATTCAATCATATCCTATTTTATTAAATCTTGTCCCTAGTCATTCAAGTCATATATGATGAATGCTTGATCTCAATCTTTTGTTAATCTGCAGATTAAATTAATCTTTATTCGATTGAAATATTGCTGAAATTAATGAAAAATACTTTTTTCAGGATAATCTTCAGGTCCAGCTAACGTTCCGGAAATTTCCGGAACGTTCCGGAATATCGTTCCGGAAATTTTCCGGAAAATCGTTCCGGAAATTTCCGGTTTCCGGAACATTTGGTACCAGAATTACATTAAAGTCTTACATATGTAAATACAACACCAGTTAGTAACACTAACAATATATGGATGGATGCCGGACGGTAGAAAAAGTTATACTCAATAATCAATATTCAAAGTTACTATCGGCTTAAATTTAAGTCGCGGCTCAAAATGGTTAATTCCACTCAATATTGTATTTGAACATTATACTGCTTCTAACCCTGATTTCTTTAAAGCCAAACATCAAAGAGACTCTTCCTTAAAACAAATCTTCAGTTCTGTCTAGAAACTAAACATATTGTTTTGTAAGGATAAAAATATAGTTTAGTTTAATATGAACTTATAGAACATGCGGAGAATATTAATCATATTCGGTCTGCTACTCGGACTCAGGTATTATACAGTGATACCGATAAACAGCAGAATATTAAATAAATTAAAAGTAATCAGAGTCAGAATTTAATCAGCCAAAAACCGGTTTCAATTAAGTGCTGGATTAAATCTTGAAACAGTGAACCAACCATATTGGAGCCGTGTCTCACATTTAAGCTGCGGCTCAAGTTCTTTAAATTCGGCCTTAGATTAAAAAGGTTCACTAATTTTTAACTAAGAATTTGTAGTATTCAGATAATTTGTGCAAATATTTATTAACGATGTATAACTAGTGATCACAATTATCAATAACAATTTAGTTTGAAAAAAATGGCAAAGACATCATCATTCCTGTTACTTCGGTTCTAACTGGAAAATCATATTTGCCGCCAGAAAAAAATAGATTGTCGCTGAGATTTATTTTAAATAAACTTATAAAAGGGGCTGTAAGCGTTATTTCAAATGTGGTATTCCTGATTCACAACGGTACCCTTAAAACCTTTGACTGATAATTTAGGACAGAGATCTCAATGTGTTTATCTTTTTAATGTTGTTAAAAAGCTGTAAATCTCTTTGCTTTGCGCTCATAAGCGTACTATGTGAACTAAACGTTGCCGACCTCACATTAAATCTTTAAAAATATTGAATTTTTTAATGTCCAAAGCTAGAAAAAGGGGTTCCAAACTTTTCCAATTGTGATCGAAAGTCACAGATTGCTGAGAGAAGGATCCAACTGTTAAATCACCATGGTTATAGTACGTGTGTTTTGTGCAATTTGTGTGTTTGTTTGCGCATATATTTGCGTAGAAAAGCATTTGAGCTAAATAATGTGAGCGGCGCACACATTATTTTGCGCACAGTGCTCAGAATTTAGAGCTTTGTTTTTATTTTCATCCAGAAATTCCTTTTGCTCTTGGAAACCTAGTCATCAATGATCCTTAAGTACTTCCTCTTATATCTTTGGCTCACCATTTAGTAATAAAAGTGTTATAACCTAGTAAGAGGCCAACCAGTATAAGTAAAATTTACTGTATGATAAATAGGTATGCTATGGGGGAAAAACAGGTCAAATCCACTCATACAATCGGAAACTGAAAAAGGGTTGATAAAATTTCTACAGCTGAAATGTTTTCAGTCTGATATCCAGTGGGCCTGCACCGAAAGCTTTCCTAGATGATACTAATGAGGGACAAATGGAGCATTATGTATCAGATGAATATCCTGAATCAAAAGAACTCTTCGAAGATACCATTGAGGGAGAAATGTTGCTTTATGGGTCAGATGAATATCTTGAATCAAAAGAACTCTTGGAAGACACCATTCAGGGAGAAATGGTGCTTTATGGGTCAGATGAATATCTCGAATCAAAAGAACTCTTGGAAGACACCATTGAGGGAGAAATGGTGCTCTATAGTTCAGATGAATATCTTGAATCAAAAGAACTCCTTGATGATACAGAAATGGTTCTCTATAGTTCAGATGAGTATCTTGAATCAAAGGAAGATCTGGAAGAGACCATTGAGGTAGAAAGGATTTATGATTCGGACGAATATCTTGAACTTCCGGAGGATTCTACTGATGAGGGAGAACTTGACCTTAGTGGGTCAGACAAAAATTCTTCTGTAAATGGCAATAAACATAATGATGGAAGTGGATATCTTGATGGAAGTGCAAATGATGATGTAAGTGCATATGATGGAAGTACATATTCCGGAAGTGGAAACAACAATGATAAAAACAAGATTGAATAGGAATGCGCATTTTTCGGAAACTGTTTTGAAATTTTGAACAATTATTTAAAGAAAAATGTAGGAACCAATCATTTATAAGGTACAGAAAGTAAAAAAATAAAAATTTGAATACTAATAATGCAAATATAACTTAACAATTTCTTTGTTTTTTCATACTGAAATTTTTTTTTCAAAATTATCCTTTAAATTACGTTTTTTTACAGTTCAGTTAAACCTGAGATTGGTGTGGTTGGTTCCTGACGCTTGATTTTTAATGTTTTAACAATCCCTTCAATACACTCTGAATTGTGAAATTAAAAAATCGCTTATTTGGAAGTAAAATTCGGATAGCTGCCAATTAAGCGATTTTGTGTCACCAAATAAGTGATTTTTTTGTCGATTCTTCTGCAGCAATCCAACTTTTGCTTCCAGAAAAGAGATTTTTTTTTAATTCCCTAATTTAGAGTAAAACAGTTAGTTTAGCCGTTAACAAAATATTACAATTATTTAGCAATAAAAACTGTAATAGACAAAGTAGTGATTTTTTTCCTTTTTTCTAGATTTAATAATAGCATCGTTTTTATCTAGAATTTTTAGGCATTCAGGATACTGCACAAGAAACTAAGAAAATTTTGCCTCTATTTTAGTATGCAAAATCTTGACTTGCATAAGCTTAAAGGCTGAACAAATTTCCAAATTGATTGTTAACTAATTTTGCTTACTACACACTTATTTCTTCTGTTAAAAATAATAATCAGAGAAAAGCACAGATCGTTCACATTGTATTGATCAGTCAGATATACTTCCTTCAAATTCATTGTCAGTAAAAACTTGATTTAGTATTTCTTGTATTCCAGGTTTTGCCAAAGTTTATTAAGACGACAAAAATACAATGTAAATAATATTTAAAAAAGATAATTAATTACAAATGTTTTTGTCGCAACAAAAATTTTATTTATCTAATTGTTTGTTTTTTAATAGAAAAAAGTCTTTAAAAGTCTGGGCTATCAGCAATTTTTCCAACCAAATCAGCTTCAGCACACCTAGAAAAACACAGCTAATAAAAAAACTAAAACAAGAGAATTTGAAAATGTATTAGGGTAGAGAATTAATTAAAGATATAAGTTTGATGCATTTGAACGACTGTAAAACTGTAATGACATTTTTCAGCACAAAAATATCAGGAATTTTGAAACAGCTATTCTAAAAAGCAAGTATAATCTGAGGCCGAATTTAAAGAATTTGAGCCGCGGCTTAAATTTAAGTCGCGGCTCAAAATGGTTAATTCCACTCAATATTGTATTGCAATTTTCAAGATTTGAGCCGGCGCTCAATTGAAACCGGTTTTTGGCAGATTAAAGCCGCGGCTCAAATTCATTAAATTCGGACACTGGAAACCAAACTTTAATTTTATACCTATCTGCATCTTTCTCTGTATCTGCCTTCGATTCATCTTGTGAAAATGTCAGCTGTCTCTTTTTTCTGGTTTCACATCCGCACCCGAAATATTCATCCCCCGTTGGTCTACCCTGGCAGTCCCTTCGAAAAATTAGTTTCAATGTATTGATACTTTAAAGTGGGTTCATGAGCTGGGAACTCTTGTGTTGGAAACTCATATGCCTGATCACTTGATCTTGATGTCCAATGTGGTGACTTTCAATTTGAGAATCTATAAAAAGCACTTCTTGGTGTTGACGCTGTTATGTGTTCCAAGGGAGCTATCCACTCCTTCTTGAACTAATACTACTTGGTCTTGACGCTGCTACATGTTCCAAGGGAGCTATCAACTCCTCCTTAAACTAATACTACCTGGTCTTGACGCTGTTATGTTTTCCAAGGGAGCTATCAACTCCTCCCTAACTAATAGTACCTGGTCTTGACACTGCTACATGTACCAAGGGAGCTTCCAACTCTCTAAACTAATACTACCTGGTTTTGACACTGCTACATGTTTCAAGGAAGCTTCCAACTCCACCCTAAACTAATACTACCTGGTTTTGACGCTGCTATGTGTACCAAGGGAGTCTTCAACTCCTCCTTAAACTAATACTACCTGGTTTTGACACTGCTACATGTCTCAAGGAAGCTTCCATCTCCTCCCTAAACTAATACTACCTGGTTTTGACGCTGCTACGTACACCAAGGGAGCTTCCAACTCCCTAAACTAATACTACCTGGTTTTGACGCTGCTACGTACACCAAGGGAGCTACCAAATCCTCCTCCTCCTCCGCAAGACAGTTGGGCTCTGCAGGCATTGTAGGACCAAGGATTGTTAGGAAATCTAAATTTTGTATGGTTTGATATATTTTCTTTAATGTTCAATTTTTCTCATTTCAATGCCACCATTGTTTTCAAGAACACCACTGCTCATTATTTTTGTTTAAATTTCAATTGTTCATTTCTTAAAGAATTACAAAACCAAAATTAATAATTGTAATATCTCATTTCTGATTTTTTTAAACTAATAAAACCTTCTTTTTTTTAAATAAAGGGTTAAAACTAACAAACTGCTTGTTTTGATCTTTTGAAGACAAGATACCAATAGACTCTATTTTAAAAAAAGGTATATGGATAATGAAGGTACAGTTATTAACAATATTTAGCAATCATGTAATCCCAAAAATTACCAACTATCATAAACGTAACAAAAGTTTAAAAAATCTCCATTTTGAAAATGGATGTTTTTCGTTTTTTCTACGTCGTTTACAATATGATCAATTATTTTTCTGAAAAGGGATAACGATCAAAATGATGAAAAATGGTAGTTTCTTAGAAAGATGTTAAACTACATCTACCATATTTACTGGTCTGACACTTTTACCTTTGAGATGGCTGAAGATCTCCGCAGGTTCCAGCTGGTCCTGTTGTGTAACACCAAAGTCTTCCTAAAAAGGTGTTTTTATATCTTTAATTATCTTGAACTATCTTTTAATGATTTAAAGTTTTAAAATTTATCCCTGTGGAACTTAAAACAGCTAAGGTTATACCAATCTTCAAATCAGGCGACCCCCTAATTTTAACAATTATCGACCAATATCCTTATTATCAACCTTTAGCAAATTATTAGAAAAGATTGCTTCCTCCCAAATGATTAAATACATGAATAAGTTTAATCTGTTATATAAACATCAGTACGGGTTCAGAAAAGGTCACAATACAACCCATCCTGTCATGCACTTTCTGGATAAAATATACACTGCTCTAAATAAACCTGTTCCTGAATACACCCTTGGTATTTTTATTGATTTAAAGAAAGCTTTTGATACCTGTGATCATAATATAATCTTAAGCAAGCTATCCCACTTTGGATTTCGAGGGGTCGCAAACACTTGGTTTAAAAATTATCTTCAAAAAAGTAAACAGTTTACAGTAATAAATGGTGTCAGGTCGACCCTTGACGACATTCTTACAGGAGTTCCACAGGGTTCTGTGTTAGGACCCTTACTTTTCTTGATTCTAATCAATGATCTTCCAAATGCTTCCAGCATTATATTAAGTATTCTGTTTGCAGATGATACAACCCTGCAATTATCTTCAAATAGTTTAGAGGTTCTATATTCAACTGCAAACACTGAGCTTGTTAAGATATCTGATTGGTTCAGAGCTAATAAACTTACTCTTAATGTATCTAAAACCAAATATATTTTATTCAGAAACCAAGATATGAAAGTAGATTTTAGCAACCTAGAACTCAGTATAGATTCTGGTAAAATAGACAGAATAGTCTAAGCCGGAAGTGTCTTAATGAAAGGAACATACTAGCAGACATTAAACTAAATGGTTGAGAGAATTTTTTACCTGTCTGTAGAGGGTTGGCTTTCAAAGTACTGATAACGACAATAATAGAAAAACATTAGCTTGACAATTTTAATAGTTCTTATAATGAATCAGCCCCAATTCTCCTATGGATTCTTGTGATACTGGCTATATAGACAGCAACATGGGACAGTATGCTAAATAAATCATCTCCATCTTAGTTAGAGTAATTCAAGGAGAATTGAATAGAAGGAGGGGGCGGTAGGGTTTCCGTACGCTTTGCTGTGACGTTTTTGGACTGCTGAAGAACTAGTTTTTGCGTAACAACAATGACAAAGGCAGCCGATCTAATGTAAACAAACATGAGTTAGTATACGGTGAATCTTCATATAACGCCAGAGATGCGCCAGATGTCTGTTTATCATTTGTGTTATTGTTTACAATCTTTGTTATTGTTTTTACGCAAAAACTAGTTCTTCAGCAGTCCAGAGCCCGAAATTTAAAAGAGTATCGTTGAACGAAACTCCCGAGTTTCCTTTTTGGGGTCTTAAGATTTGTGTAGATTTTGATTTAAGATATTCGAAAAAAATGGAGAATATAAACAAACTGAAAAAAATAATATTTCATTACAAAAATACTGATATTCACAAAAATGCCTAAACCCATTCGTGAAACCCGGGTTTTAAAACTGGTTTTCATAACGATACCCTGTCTTAAGTTTTGGGCTCAGAAACGTCACAGCAAAGTGTACATAAACCCTATCGCCCCCCCCCCCCTTCTATTCAATTCTCCCTGAGTAATGTGCAAATGTACCCTTAAACCTTTTTTCTAAGAAAGGATGAAATGAATTCCATGTTATGTGAGGATAACATGTAAACTCCAAAGTAAAGTGTACCTTTGGGTTTCATAAATTTCCATAAATACAACCATGTCACGTTCTTTAATCAGCCAAAGGTTTAAAGGTACTTTGTTGAAAATCAGTCATTTTACTCTCTAGGTATAGGTTCCAATGTCTGAAGTTCCAGAGGTTTATAAAAACTTAATTTGTTTTCCCTTGTGAAGTATGTATGTGCAGATATTGGAGATTAATGTGAATCCTGAAACAAAACAAAAATTTGCTTTAATTTAAAAACATAATAAATAATATATCTCTACATAACGACTTTTTAATGTTGAGATCATTAACAAATGAGAGCTTTAAAAAATCGCCAAAACTGTTAAGAAAACAAAAAGTTTCCTTTTGAAAAAAAAACTGATACACAATTGGATTGGGCACTACAAGACAGTTTAACCAAGTTTAACTTACTGGAATCGAAAAGTAGGTATTTGAAAAAAAATTAAAATTTCCATTAACGATCAGAAAAAATTCTTTTTTTTTGATCGTTAACAAACCAAAATAACTGTCATGCAACAAAAAATTGTAATTTTTTAGATGTGAAAGAAGAACATGCCTGGCATTTGTTTGTGTGGAAAATGTTTTGCTTTTAAGCATGCATTTTCATATTTTACAGGAACAGATCATAATTCATAATACATTATTTACAGTGCACATTTTGTAATATCTCCTCCGATATTAGGAAGATTCATGATCATTCTCCATGAAATAAAACAATTTGAACAAATTATTACCAAGAGATGTTGTGAAAACCAAGGCGTCAAAAAGTAGCATTCTGATCAGATCTGCAATTTCTTAACCCTATAAAGTCTGGGGGGTCTCAAGCCCCCCCCCCCCCAGGAAAAGGGCTGAGATTAAAGGTAACCACTTGACTACCTTGAATAGTTTGGTAGCTGGTGAGGTTAGAACGGTTAAAAAATGTTTTAAAAAAATGTTTTTTGTTTTTGACAAACAATAAAATGTGAATATATCCATTTCAAAACTTCTTAAACTATAAGATAAAGTAATGCTACAATTTCAAAAATCCCTACTTTTTTTTTACAATTTATCACAAAAACTTTCAAGCAGGAGTGAGTTGTTTTTAGGAAGGTTAGGTTAGCTAAATTGTGAAATTAAAACAATTCTCATTGACAAGCAATGAAAGATGCAATGCTACTCTATGATCCCTATCTGGAAGATGAATTTCTACTCTACGAGTCCTGTCTGGTAGATGAAATGCTACTCTACAAGTCCTATCTGGAAGATGAAATTCTACTCTACGAGTCCTATCTGGAAGATGAAATGCTACTCTACGAGTCCTATCTGGTAGATGAAATGCTACTCTATGAGTCCAATCTGGAAGATGAAATACTACTCTATGAGTCCTATCTGAAAGATGAAATACTACTCTATGAGTCCTATTTGGAAGATGAAATACTACTCTATAAGTCCTATCTGGAAGATGAAATTCTACTCTATGAGTCCTATCTGAAAGGTGCAATGCTACTCTACGAGTCCTCTCTGGAAGAGTAGTTTTATACCATTTCCTCTCAAAAACTCAGAGCGTTGTTAAGGAGCTTTGTAAACTATCCTAGCAACCAGAGCATGTCTAAAGGACTACTTAGGACGTTGTCAATTACCAATGCGCCATCTTTTAGGAGTTGGTGATGTTGCCAGGACGTAAAACACACCCCTTTTTATGTTCTGGCATCCTTTCTTTCAACGTCGAAATGAGATCACTTTGGACATCGAAATCACAAAACTTTTGACGTCGAAATGACTAAACTATTTATAACACTTATCTTATACTTAACCACAGAACAGACATTAACCTTATAAAGGCTGGGGGGTCTGAATCTATGTAAAGCCAAATGTCCCTTCCACTAGAGAATAGGTATAGGGTTGAAATGCATTTTCATTGCCCAATGTTTCATGTTCAGGTCAAAGAAAAAAATAAAACCAATAACTTTAATAGTTGGGGTGCTAGAGTGGGTGGAAAATTTTTTTTTGTTTTAAACAAAAATCTAAATGTGACACATGTTTCTACATTGCATTTTTTAAGGGCTTTTCAAAAATATAGTTTTTAGATATTTACTTTAGTGATAAAAAAGTTATGGGCTATTTTAGATTTTTTTTCACAGGCCGGACTTTTTTCCACCCTTTACCCTACCCTATAGATTTAAAAAATATATTTTTTTACAAAAAATCTTTTGAATTAGTATTCATTAAAAGTCACAACATTTCACGGTGATAGTGTATATACATCATACATTCATATTTCATCATACTTATTTAATTTATTCATCAATTCATACTTATACACTAAACTATACCTGCAACAGATGCTGTGGAAAAGAACTTCTACTTATCACAAAATTCACAATATACCCAGGAAACACAACTGGATTGTACAACTAGATGATAACTAGTTGTTCTAAACTCCACTTCAAAACTCCTCTTAAACTCAACTTTAACTCCACTTTAGAATTCCAGTCACCAACTGGGTGAAATCTGAGTGAAAAAACTCGACTTAAACTCGACTTTTTGAATCCCTGTTTTTACCAAGTCAGGGTGAAAACTTGGATTTCAAAACTTCACTTAAAAACTCCACTTAAACTTTACTTTAATTCCAATTTTGAACTCCAGTCACCAGCTGGGTGAAATCTGGGTGCATAAACTCGACTTAAACTCTACTTTTTGAATCCCAGTTTTTACCAAGTCAGGGTAAAAACTTGGATTTCAAAACTCCACTTCAAAACTCCACTTAAACTCGACTTTAACTCCACTTTTTAACTCCAGTAACCAGCTGGGTGAAATCTGTGTGCATAAACTCCACTTAAACTTGACTTTTTGAATTCCAGTTTTTACCAAGTCACCAACTGGTTGAAATCAGGGTGCATAAACTCGACTTAAACTCAACTTTTAGAATCCCAGATTCTGTGTCAATATATTCACGAAACCTCAACTGCACAACAATGCATTTTTAAGTAATAATTTAATAATTTAATAAAATTTGATGATTTTTCAAAAGAATTGATATGTAAGAAATTTTATGCAACTATTTTGGTAAATTGTTTCAAAATTGTTATCATTTTGGAGTAAATCAACGTTTCATAAGAATCAATGTCAGTAAATTCTTGATTTTTTGATAAATAGAAGAAGAACAGGTAGAATGGTAAGTTAATACAGTAAAACATATATTGAGTATGTAATTGTTGAAGAAGAAGTGAAGAAGAATACTGGATTGGATTGGTGATATCTGGATGATATGTGGGTGATATCACTCATTTCTGTCTAGCGGAGGCTTGGTCTGTCTAGCTAATCTGGGAGGCTCATGTCTGCATAGCGAAGGCTTATTGCGTCTAGGGGTCCCTTCCCTCTCTCCTCTGACCCAATCCAACCAAGCCTGACATAACCCGACATAAGGGGACCTGACCAGTCAGGTAATCCAACGTAACCTGACTTAACCCGACCTATAACTCAACTTAGAGGCACCTAGAGGGCTGGTCATGTTCCAATCAGCTGGGTAATCCGACGTAACCCCGACCTACCGCGACCTGCAAATGGAACTGGTCGTAGGAGGTCGCTGGTTGCTAGGATAGATCATTCTTTAGCCTTAACTGAAGACATACGACATGAATTTAACGATCCTTAATCCCAAAGAACTGTAACTGTTGATCACAATTTGGTTTATTGAAGACATTTTTGCCTTTTCTTTACTATTCGTTTTTGTCAGCATATAAGTTTTACACGAAAAAGTATAAATAAGACATGCACATAAGTTTAAAGAGAATAATAGACGAAAAAAAAAAGAAAAAATGAATGCATTTCGCCCTGGTTCTGAAGAAGCATGTTGTCTGGAACCCAAATATAACTATTCTATTAGATGAGTTTTGTACTTTAGAGGAATTTCTGATCCCAGCTCAGCCCTGGGAAAACACTTATTGTGATTATTCTAAAGTTTTCAGGAAATTACGAAATCTGCGTTTTTGACAGAGTATAATCTAATATCGGATAATCTAAGGATTATTACTTATTGTAATCACAAAGTCATCTTAATTTTTGATGCTCCATCAAATAAATTTGTTTTTCCAGAATGCTACGTAGAAATTTAGTTTTTTGATTTTGATGTTTCTAATAATTTTATAATTTGTTTGTGACACTGACCAATATTTAGCTGGAATTTATTATACTTATTTTTTAAGTTTATCAAAAATTGAGAAATTGATGTGATGTGATTTTACCGACAGCAGGATTAACACTATAAAACTTAAATAGATGCACAAAATTGTTTTAAAGTTTACCTTGACCCCCTTCCCCTCCCCCTGGGTGGCTTAGTTATCCTTTTTCTGTCGGGTACTCGCCAATAGAGATGATGGGCAGTGTTTTTGTAAACGATTGTGTCATTTAGAAAAAAAAATATTGGACGAACAACTTGGATTGTTAGGAAACTAAAAAGAATGATGTAAAATTGTTTGACGAATTTGAAAATAAAAGAACTAATTTTCAAAAAAAATTTCCAAGAACTGTCGTTTTTTACTAAAATCGACCATTTCTTGGAGCAAACTTTTTTTAAACGACAGATTTTTTAGTTTTTACTGTAAAAATTATATTTTCCAACAACAACCGCGGTCGTTTTTTTACCTATCAAACGATTCTATTAAAAGAACGATCTTACTAAACAACTGTTCACTGAGAAAACGAACGAAATTTTGAAAACGAACAAAATCAATTTTTATTTAATTATTGAAGAAAGGAACAAAATTGGTCGTTCACGAGCGATGAACGAACAGAATGAAGAAAAAAACGGACTCGCCCACTCTACACTCCAATGGTATTGACATTTTTGAATAGACAGTTTATGTCATTTAGAATTTAGTACAATACATAAGTGAGATTTAATACAAGATATTTTTACAACACTTGGTTTAGATTACAGGGGAGGGGGGGATGCATGGGGGTGGTTTCATAAAAAAGAATTAAGTCTAAATTTTGGAATCCATTTTTAACCATTAATGCTATTTTATCCTTATTTGTCGGTCTATTCCATAGATTAATTAAAATATAAGATAGGACACTAGATGTTGTCTTTTCTAGATTTGGATGAAACTTGTTCACAATAACCCTGAGGCAGAAGCCCAAAACAGGCTCTCGCTGACTTTTAAAGTCATAAATTGAGTCTAAATGCGTCATCCAATTCCATAGTTTTCTGGTTCTAACTATACTTACTTTTATGTTTCGTTACTACAGGGTGTCCCAGTCCCACGAAACATGACATTTGATAAATAGTTTAAGCTATTCACAAACTGTCATATTTCGTGTACTACAACTGAATATTCTCGTGCAGAAATACGTAATGTGGAATTGGAATTTTGGAATAGGAATTTACAATACCAACCTCAGTATAACCTGAATATATCACATTAATGCATCGAGGCCGGATTGCATAATGACCCCCCCA